CGAATAAACGAGTCTTTTAATTAACAATACGTAATTCCCTGTTTCAATCAAATCAGTACTAAATTTGCGCAGATTAATTAAGTCGATTTTAATTTTGACTTTAAGATTTGCTAAAATATATAATTTGTTCAACTTAAGTATCCACGTAGCCAAAAATTTAAGAAAATTGATGGCTGAATGTAACAATTGTAAGTATTCCGCGTGCCCACTTAAATCAATCAAATTCCTAGATTTCAATTTTTAACATGTTCCAAAACCGTTTTATTGTTCTGTAATCAGATGGGTGCATTTTTGCTGATGGCCGCATTAATGATCGTACATACGATGCTTGTGCTGATTGCCGTCACGGATCCGGGCGTACGGTATGCGGCCCGGCGACGCTTTGCACGATTGGTCCACCGGGATACGGTAGGTCGAGTCTCGTTTTTCATAATTTTCGAGTTTAATTCTCAAAAATCGCTATCTTAAAATGCCATAAAAGGTAAAAAGCTTTTAAAAATCTAATTTAGTAAGCAGTAAAAATCAACGATCAAAAGGTGAGATAGTGAACACTACGAAATGTCGTCATTTTGAATTTCGGCGTTACGAATTTCGCCACTAGGAATTTTGACGATATGGAATTTCGACAGGATAAATTTCAAAATTATGAATGACGACAAATCGATAAAAGTGGAAAACTTTCGGCAGTTTCTAATCCCTGAAACCCTTAAAATTCACGAGTTTCAATACCGATCTAGTATTGGAGTGAACTTGCAATAGGAATTTGGAAGTACAGGGTGTCCCAAAAAAAAAGACCCCCCAAAAATTTGAGCCAGAGGGCACCTACGGAGCTGAAAATTTGCACAGAGGTAGCGAAGCCAATTTTCTATGAACAAGGAAAGTTTCAGCCCGATCGTCCAGCGGGTTTTAAAGTTATAGCGAAAATACTTTTGATTTTTATTGTAATATGGGGATTGCTGCAATTTGCATCAAAAATATGCGTTATTTTGGCATTTACGAGCCGATTTTGCATAAATTTCGCCGAAAAACGCCAGTTGCTTCTTTGGGCTGTAGAAAAACGATTGCTCGTGGAGAGAAAAAATGGTTCGCAAGACCGCGGAACACAAGACGCATTGACTGAAACCATCATTGGACGCTAGAACCCAGCTTAGACTTCGTCGTAAGCGTCAACCCAAGCCGAAAACTGAACCTAAGCAGTACTTAGGGGCTCATCAAACTCTGCTTCGGGACCGACGGGGTCATATTGGCAAAATGTCCCATAAAATATGATTTGGACCCTAGAGACTAGACCTCCCGAACCCCCCTCATTTACCCCCAAAGACACCATTTTTACCCCCATCGCAACACCCACCAAAACCCCCCAACAGACACCCCTGCCAACCCCCAATGGACCCCCCACCCGACCCCCACCCGCCCCCCCCTCGCAACCCCCTTCGGCCCCCAACAGCACCCCCCAAACCCCCCACCCGTGCCCCCACAAGTAGTGTTGGGCAATTTGCCCGGTCCGGTTTTACTATGCAAGATGAAAGATGAACATCATTTTCGAGCAGTTCGCACAACTCGACGCCAATCCGATTACAACTCATTGGGGGTCGTTTGGTAGCATTTCTTCGAGGTTGTTGAACACGGCGGACAATTTCGGGACTTTTTTTTCTAACCGCGCTAGCAGGCTGGGCAAAGCTGCTAAAGAGCTGAAACTCGTTGGGCAGATAGAACTTTTCGCGCTCTTTCGACTGATGCCCTTCTCGATCCAAGAGTCCCAGTGCAGATCGAGATATGATGGTTTTAGTGCGGCGACAACTTCGACAGGTACACCTTTCGGCACTAAAACGCTCCTCTCTCTGTCCCCGACGGTGTTGGAGAACGGTAGGTATACCGTTTGAAAGAGCGTTCAAAATGCTACCTTCTCAACGGCTTGAAGCAATTCTATCAAGCTTTTTTACGCTGCCAGCGCGGTTAGAAAAAAAGTCTCGAAATCGTCCGCCGTGTTCAACAACCTCGAAGAAATGCTACCAGACGACCCCCAAATGAGTTGTAATCGGATTGGCGCCGAGTTGTGCGAACTGCTCGAAACAGCTAAAAAAAAACAAAAAATCCGATGCATAAACAATGTCAAGGAATAAAAAAAACCCTCCATCGAACCCTCCGAGACCCCCCCTTGGGCCCCCCAAAACCCCCATCCAGACCCCCTTTTCCACAACACCCCTGAAAACCCCATCCGAACACCCCGCCCACCCCCACCCTGCCCCTCACCCAGCCCCCTATGACCCCATCCAACCCCCACAAGTATGGGGGCAATGGGGGTTCGGGAGGTCTACTAGAAACAGTCGTTTTCACACTCTTTTGGCTCTTCATACTCGATCGTTCTCACCGAGATCCAGTGAGCAACTGGCGTTTTTCGGCGAAATTTATGCAAAATCGGCTCGTAAATGCCAAAATAACGCATATTTTTGATGCAAATTGCATCAATCCCCACAGTACATCAAAAATCAAAAGTATTTTCGCTATAACTTTAAAACCCGCTGGACGATCGGGCTGAAACTTTCCTTGTTCATAGAAAATTGGCTTCGCTACCTCTGTGCAAATTTTCAGCTCCGTAGGTGCCCTCTGGCTCAAATTTTTGGGGGGTCTTTTTTTTGGGACACCCTGTAGACGATGACGAAGAACTATTGACTCGCCTAGACGTCTCTAAAATCTTCACCAACCTTCACTAAGAAATAAAAATTCTTGTAGTATAAAAAATCACACAATTCTAAATTCTCTGTATGTCGATAAAAAAATTTAAAAAAGACACCTATGGATAATTTACCTAAATCCGAATTTTTCATATAGCTGTGTACAGGCCCGTAGGAAGGGGGCAACTGGGCACCGTTGCCCCCAAAATCGGCCGAAGGCCGAAAAATTCATAAGGGGGACCCTTATGATTTTTTCTCGTGAAAATTTTTTTTGCCTGCGGAGCTTTTTATACTTGTTTTTAAGACTGTTTTTACTGTCACAGCCCTAAATTTTTCAAAAATTTTCGCCTGCGGCGCTGTTTTTGATAGTTTTGATACGTTGCCATAAAAATTTTTTTGGAGTTGCCCCCCCCCAAAAATCGGGGATCGCTACGGCCCTGGCTGTGTATTCAATTTTTTTGGGCGACTTTGAACCACAACAAATTTAAATGTTACGATTCAGTAATATTTTTCACGAACCTTTTCACGACAGTATGGAAAACAGAGTGAATTCAAAATTAAAGGGCACGTTCACGGACGTTTTTTTTTTGGAAAAAGCAAAGATTTATGCCGCGGCTGGGGGTCGAACCCGGTCGAAGTCGAACCCCCCACTCGGGAGGCGCGGCTGGATTCCAGTCAGCCACAGCTACAACCTGGCGAGGGGGTGAGGGACGCCCCACGCCGAAAAAGAGTGGAATGGCCTGTCACAGCACGGGCAGGCAGTGCGCGCGATCCCAACGTCCATAGGGTTTATACGTTGGACAGAGTATACGCCCCTCCCTGAACGTGCGCTTTAAAACCCTTATTTTAGCAAAACTCAACCGGACAGCTCGGACCGAGCATTTACGGCGAATTCTGCGTGTACGAGAATGTACTCGCGACACCGGCAAAGGACGGAGATGCGGAACAGCGAATTTTGATGGCCCTCCACACATCGCTCGGGTATTTGGACCAGGGATTTTTGAAAACGGTAAGCATCTAGCTTTATTTATTCGCGCTGTAAAAAGGATTTAGCACCAGGTTTAACTATCTTCGGTTTGAAATTTGATTGGCTTTGGCATTTCCTACGTAATTTTACTTCATTCGCCCTTAAAAAAATATGTTTCGTCGAAAGAATATGAGGATTTTGATGCACAACCTGCAATCTAGGATGGGAAGTTTTCTCAAGTTGGAGTTCCAGGCTTATTTTCATTTTGTCGAAAATAATTTATGCCGCAATATAATTTTGTCGAACCTTCAATTTGTCGATGTTTCAATGCCATTTTCGCCCCGATTATTCATCTCAAACAGCCCTCCAATTGAAATGTCAACGCCTTGAAATTTCGACAAGGCCACAAAATTATATATTTCATTAAAACTTGCCAATACGTTTTCAGAGAAAAATGTAATATATTCAATAGCCAGGCCCAAATTTCAATCAAAAACTCGCGAAACGATCACAGTCCAAATAGCTGTTGTCAATTGGAGCCTTGGATAAAATGAAATGTTTTGGACAATTTTCGGAACCCGGGATTATGAAACAATGACGAAACGAGACCATAGGGAAAAGTTTGCGCTATAGCATTAAAAAAACATAATTTCCATAAAAAGAGGTAAAAACATGGTTGACACGAGTAGGACGAAATTTAGCTAGGAAATAACTTAATGCGCTGCCTCCTGGAGTAACCAAATGAACCAAGATATGATTTGAATTACACGCAGGGCTTAAAAAAATCGTGGAAAAGCTGGGACATCAGGTCGATAATAAAAATTAATGATAATAATAATAATAATAATAATAATAATAATAATAATAATAATCATAGTTTCATAAACTTACAAAACTCAAAAAATGTTGAAGTGGAACCGAGAATTTTTGTGAATAGGTGTTTCAGGGAGTTGGTGCTCAAACAATTTTTTTAAGGCAGCAATTTCCGGTCAACACATGCCATAAAATTCCTTACTTACAAGGAGTCGTTTTTAGGTGCTTTTGGAGTTTCGGGACGGGACCTAGCATGCCCGATAGAGAAAAAAAATTCTGAGCAACATCCCGTTTTCAAAAAGTGCTGATCGATAAAGGTGTTTTAGAAAATTTAATTTAATTAAAAATATTCCCGTTATCCGGACCCTTGTGGTGGTTTGAGTTGATTTGCGGCGGTCGACGCCCCCGCCACATGGGGACTTCACGCGCCCTGGTTCCCGTCCTAGGCATAGCCAGGTGGCTAGTGCGTCGGCCTACGAAGTTTTTTTTACCTTTTGCCACAAGTTCGATCCTTATTTATCGTTAACTCTTCGCTTTTTTGCTAACCAATAAGCCAATGCAACCTGTGATGGAGGCCTTGTCGGAAGGTTATGAACAGCGCCTTGCCCCGCCCCGACAACGACGTGAACCGAGGAAATGGACCCGAAAACTGGAAAAAATGCGCGAACTTTAAATTAAATTTTCTAAAATTCCTTTATCGATCAGCACTTTTTGAAAACGGGATGTTGCTTAGAATTTTTTTTCTCTATCGAGCTAGCTAGGTCCCGTCCAGAAACTCCAAAAGCACCTAAAAGCTACTCCTTGTTAGATATGCCAGCTGCAATTTTTATTATCTTTAGAATGCTTAGTTAATTTTCGTTATTTCAGGCAAAGAGCTGGGATGGTGTCGTTTCAACGGCTGTCTTTGTCGAGAGCATGGATGCCCTGAATTTTGACATTATTACCGGAAGGGTAGGTAATCAAATTTAATGGAAAAAATGAGAATAGTGATAGACGTAACGCAAGTCAATATAACTAATTTATGTTATATCAAAGCCTACATTACGTATTTTAGCTGCGGTACTTCCAACACCAGCTCGACCGTCCGAATGATACCTATTGGCAATTCTTTTTTCGGGCCGATGAGAGTGGGACGTGCCCAAGCTTTTCCATGAGTGGTATGAAAATTATAAAATCTTAAAGATCCAAATTGAAACAAAAATAATTTAATTTTGAAAAACTCGCAACTAGAGGGACTTTGTATTCTCGAGTTGGTTTATTGGATTTGTACGAGACAAAAGGCTTTTTTCGAAGGAGTATATTCTTTAAAAATTCTGGGTAAATTTCTATAGTGGTATTATAGAATTATTATTTTATTATTGAAACCAGCGCCCAAAACCCGCTTCGCGGGCCTTGGGCGCTGGAATGCGGCTTTTACATGAGAAATTTGACTTTCCGATAGCTCGGGTCCTTCGGACCCCCCGCGACCACACGCGCGCGTGCAACTTGCAAGAATGAGGAATTTTCTATTTTTTCACATTATGCAAATTAGCCCTCCCGGACCCCCAAAAATCAATAAAACCGGCTTTAACTTTGTAAACTTGTATTTTATCGCAATTCTGAAAACGCCATCGGAAAGAGGAGGGTCGATTCCCCCAAGTGACGGAGAATTAGGGCATTTTGGACACGGGAAGGCCCTCAAATCGGCCCTCGAAAGTGACATCCACACACACACACAGAGATACACACCAAAATTATATAAGGTAGGATATTTTTTACATAGATTTTAGTTTTTTGAGAAACTACATGTATGAAAAATTCAACCAAAATTTTTTATTTTAAAGAAAAAAATGTTTCAAAAATACTTTGACGTCGCTGGCAAATCAAGAGCATATTGTTGCCGTTCGTATTTTCTAATCCTGTAAATATGCGGATTTAAGGGACATGCTGCCGAGAGATTAGGCCAAGAATAAAAAGTATCTTAAGTATAAATGATGGTATTGATAATAGACGGAAGGGGGCGCATTTTTGAGCGAGCGTTTTGAAAACAAAACGCGAAAATGTAAATTTTACTTTTTAAAAAGCAATGATTCAAAAAAAAACTAAAAAACCCCAACATTTCACAATTTATTATTGTTATCTTCCCGGCTTCAGAAAACGCTACCGTAATCTCAACAAATCCCCTGCTCGAGGCAGGGAACCCGGAGAAATACCCCATTAATGTGGCGAGGAATTTGGCGCGGAAATTCGGGCCACCGCATCGGTATTTGCTGTTTGCCGATATGGATCAGGTAGATTTAACAAATTTTTTTAATCGAGTTTTTGCTTGCACTAAAACCATAGAATAAGCGCCGAAATAGAGGTATGATTTTAGAAAAGGAAACGATGGACAACGAGTCTTTCGCATTATCGCCAGGGGAGGCTAATTTAATTTTAGTTGTAACCATATTTAAAACGGATAGACTATCTAAAAACTTAGTACTCTAAAATTGCGGAAAATCGTCATGAAAATCGATATTTTTATATTTTAACAAAATTAAAAATTAAATTAAGTAAATAGATTGAGACAATTTCATGTTACAAATTACAAATCACGATTGCAATTATCGTGTTCGTAAAATCAGTGGGATCAACAGGTTTTCCGATATACCGAAAAATTTATTGTAAAACTGCAAGAACAATCCAGTGCGCTTCACTAATTCATTGCAAAAAGTCAATCCCCTCTCTTACATGTTTCGAAACATTGATTTTTCAGGAATATTCGTGGGGTGCCGAGGAAAAGCTACGGGCTTATGCGACAAGCCGAAAAATTGAGGAAAACGAAGAGCTGCTCGTGATCAGAAGATTTGAGCACAAAACGGGAACCAAGTCAGGATTGGAACACAGTATAATTAGAATAGAGTCAAGCTAAGGATTTAAGGACCCACTTTTTGTAAAAAATGCTTGTTTTAATTTTGGAAGAGCGCATGGCAGTTTTCTAGTATAATCGTTGAAGCTCGGTTCCGACTGCGATTTTTTGCATTACATAGCGCCGTGGCATCATTGATCCAGCTTCGCGCGCTAAGGGTTTTTGAAGCGAAACATTTCATTTGGAAATTTAGAATTATGCTGGAGAAAGAGTGCTAAATTTCTAGAGAGAGAGAGAGAGAGAGAGAGGGAGAGAGAAACGAGAGAGAGAGCGAGAGAGAGTGAAACGAGAGAAAGAGAGAGAGAGAGAGAGAGAGCTAGTAGAGTGAGAGCAAGGGAGCACGAGATTGGAGCGGGAGAGTTATTTCGTCGATTTTACTTTTGACGACTTTTCTGTAGCAAACTGCAGAATCAAATGTTTCACAAAATGCAGATGTCAGTTACCCGCGGAATCGCGTGCGTGTATGTCATTAAAGGAGGCTGATAATAACCAGTGGAAATAACAAGTCCGAAAAAGCCGTAACGAAAAAATATTTTGACGCAGCGTGCACCTGAACGCGAGCCGCGACGCGCGCTCCAAATTCTCTCGCTTTTTCAAATCCTTCAATTGGAAAAATCTTCAACATTTTTTTAATCTTAAAATTTTCTGATCTTTGAATTCAGACCGCCACGCACCATTCGCGATCTGCGCTCCCGGCTGAACAAGACGGTGTTCTACTTTCACGAGAAATATTTCACGCTCGGCCACCGTATCCCGAATTTGACGGAATGGTCGCAGCGGGGAGAAGATTCCATGGCCGTAGGTTATTGAGTGTCGCTAGAATCATCTCTTGTAGTTTGTAGTCTAAAAACACAAAAATTGGCATTTTTGGAATTTCTAAAAAAACTTTTGGAAAAATGTTACGAAACTTAATGGTAGTAATTCAGTGGGTGCTTAAGCAGCTCTAGTAATTTTTTTAATCTAATTTAAAGTAATTTATAGTGCTCCTTCAGGTGCAAGCCATCCGGCGTCCAAACAAATTCTGGGAGCCAATGTTCGTCGCGGCGGCCGACATACCGTACCACGACGAGGCGTTGGTGTATCAGCAGAAGAACCATCTGGCGTTGGTTCGTTTTTAAGCTACCACGTGCTGCTACGTTAGCGTCCACCAATTCTCGTTAGTTTTTGGCAGCGAATTTCGTTCCTTTTTCCTAAAACTACTCAAAAAAAAAATCATTTTTCAAAAACTGGTTGACGTGGCAGTTTTCACATGGTCGACCTAACGTTAAACGGATTCCAGTCATAATTACGACAGTCAAAATCCCGACAGCCAAATCGCGCGATTTCCGGTCGTTTTGCGATAAATGATTTTAAATCTGGGGTTTCTGACGGTCGGTATTTTGGCTGTCGGGATTTTCGCTATCGGTATTTGGTGTTTCCCCGTTAAAATGCCGCACAGATAATGTGTCGATAATGCCGAAAAATCGGGACTTGGATACGTTTTACTTACAAGGAGACGTTTTTTAGTGTGAATGGAGTTTTCAGTTGAAACCAGGCCTATTCTGTGCAGAATTTTGCGCTGATTCCGATGCTGTTTTCCAATTTTGCTAAATAGCTCGATTTAAAAAGTTACAGCTATTTTAAGATAATTTTTAGGCCCCGAGTAGCCATATGCTATGCTGTGCTACTTTTTTGTTATAACGTTTTAATTTTGTTTAAAGAGCCTATCTTGTAGAGAATTTTTTTCTGATTCGAATGGTATATCTTATTAGTGCGCTACTGCCGATCGACGATGGCTTACAGGGGTGAGAAATAGGCTCTTTTTCACCATTTCCCATACAAAAATCGCAGCCCATACCAAGTATCGTCGATTTTTTCGATTTTCAACAATTTTGCGTTAAATAGCTCATTCGATAGAGAAAATTTTTCTGAATACGGTGACAATATTTATTTTTGGAAAAACAGCCGGGAAAAGCAATATAATGGTCCCTAAAGAGGGGAAAATTTGGACTAAAATGATCTTAAAATTGCTATAACTTTTGAAATCGAGCTATTTAGCAGAAATGGAAAACATATTCGGAATCAGCGCAAAATTCTGCACAAAATAGGCCTGGTTTCCACTCAGAACTCCATTCACACCAAAAAACGTCTCCTTGTTAGTTTCAATCTCCCCTACATTACACGGAAGCATTGCCTTCGAACCTAAGAATGTGCTGAACATGGAAGTTCAACTCAAACATCCGAAAAACTAGCTTTTCAAAAAAATACGTAATGAAGGTATTTGGAAACTTTCCGACTTTTGAATTTTGACGAGGACATTTTTAATTTTTTTTTGTAAATTTAAACTAGGTGTCGTATTAAAATTTGTACTCACCTTAAAAACAAAATATTTTAATTTTAGCGCTGGGACCTGTGTGCGATGGGCTATAAATTCCTGGTGGTGGACGGCGTGTTCAACACCCACGAGGGCATTAAAGATCTACAAGACGTGGGCCCGTATCGCTTCCGATCTGTCGTGAGTTTTTCACATATGTACCCGTTCCATCAATGCCGGGTGTAAAAAGTCGCTATTCCAACGGTTGCAGAAACACCTTTTTCTAAAGAACAAAAATTGGGTTTCAAAAATATGCGAACTTTCGGAGCCAAATTCTGTTATAATTTCTCGTTGTCATTCCTACGTAAATCTCCCTGGAATTTTACAAGCTCGAAATTATCGAGTATTTGCAAAATTTGAATTTTACGCGCCTTAGCTTCTAGTTCAAAAAAAATTGGCAAGCACAAAAAGGTAGAAAGTCAGATGGTATTATAGAAATTTAATTCATTCATTGAAATGCGTGCTAAAATGGGGGATAAACGCGTGTCTCAGGAAATCTTTTAACGCTACTAATTAAGCTAAATGCATCAGGTTGATCTTAGTACGTTGTTTAGAAAACTAATTAACACTAGTCTTTTTTCAAACTTTTTTTGGAAAATTGGTGTTTCAAAAAATTTCGAAGTTTTCGAGCCAGGTTGGAGTATAATGATAGATGTTTAGCGCCACTAAAGCAACGTTCGTTTAAATAAAACTAAAGAACACACTTAAATGATAAATACATTGATTTTTACAATTATAGCGATTATTTGAAATTGTCCAAAGTCCACTAAATTTAAACGTTTTAAAATAATTTGAGAATAAAGAACAACAAGATTGGAACGAGCAATAGAATTGTAGATTGAGTTTTACACAATTAATTTTTTTGATTAAATGCTCCAAATCTCCCTGCAAGAAAGGTATCGCTACCAATAAACTTGATGGAAAAGTTGATGATAATGCATCTCTAGAAAATTAACGAGCCCGATGAAATATGAAAAATCTTTTTCCTAAAAAATTGGTTACAAAATTGTTCACTTTGCACAGCTTTTGAATGATTGTAAAAATCAATTAACGATTAATCGGTTTTGGAAATTTGCTGAATGTTAAACACGGCTTTTTATGAAAGAGTTTTGTGAAAGAATGACTCAAATTATTGCGGTATTATTTGGTTTGCCATTTGAGTAGTAAAGGCCCCTTCGTGAAAACATCTGCGGATCAACTTTTCAACAATAGATTTTTTACGGCGAAAATGTTCTGAAAAACCTGAAATATTTACTTAGCGGGGTATCTTTTTCTGTTGCTAAGTAAAGGAGACCGGTAGTATTTAATTAGGAACTGTTTGAAACATCATTTTTCTAGAATCTTCTATTCCAATCAATCTTATTTAGACGTCAGAAAAAGCGTCGAATCTTGCGGTGACTCGTCATACCGACGCATTACTATGGAAATACCCAAAAACAGCCCCAATTTGTCTGCATATGAAGCCGTACTCCGGAATATTTAGTTGGCTGTGGTGATCTCAATTTCTATAGGGAATAAATAATTATATAATTTTTTAAATTGTAATAGAAGTGTATTTACTGGTGATCTCCCATTATTTGAATCGGCTGGAAAGAAGGACAAAATTTAAACTTTCGGGGTCAGCATTTACTGCTAATTATCAGGTTGGAACGAAAGTTCTGTCGCCGAGATTTTGGAGGGCTGGCTAAATTCGTAGATAGCTCCATTCTGCACATGCGATATGTAATTTTGTAGCTCTCGGCCTGGATGGTTCCGGGAGGAGGGTCCTGGGCCCTCAAAATCAAGAACGGCCGAGATACAGGCCCAAGCAGTTTTTCAAAAATTACGCGAAAGTGTTTTTGCAAGTTATCTCTGCATAGAGAGATTTGCATGCGATACCTTTAACGCCAATCGATAGCTCTCATGGAGTAGATATCGATAGATGTTGAGGGCATTTTTTTAACCCATCGAATCACATCTGCCCGAATTGCATCCCATCGAATTGCATCCCGAACGATCCATCGAATTACGATCCCATCGAATTACGGCTCATCGAAGGCTCATCAATTACGACTCATCGAAATTACGTGACTCATCGAAATTACGACTCATCGAAATTACGACTCATCGAAATTACAACTCCTCGAAATATCGGTTTTTGTCAACCAAATTTTTTTCGGTCCAAGCCTAAATTTTTTTATGAATAGCGGATGCGTTTTTAAGTGGTTTTTAACTATTTCTAAGCATAAAAACTATACAGATTTTTATTAAAAATTTAATTTTAGGTCCAGAAACGGATTTTTTTCGGCCAAGAATGACTCAAATTGGACCGGGCAAAAATTAGTATTTTTGAAAATTCGCTTGGCTGACATTTCTATGAGTCGTAATTCTCGATGAGTCGCCATTCGATGAGTCGCAACTGATGAGAAATTCGATGAGTCGTAATTTCGATGAGTCGCTAATTCGATGAGTCTGTAAGTTTCGATGGGATGCTATTTCGATGGGATGTAATGTCGATGGGATATAATTCGATGGGATTCCATTCGATCAGATGTAATTCGATGGGATGATAGCAAATCGATGTTGAGATCATCAAAATTGGACACTGGATGGCCGAGATATGGCCCCTTGAAGTTTAGCCCCATTTCTTAGATTTTTTCCCGATTTCCCATACAGATTTTTCGAAATCCGCTCCCCTGGTCCAAAATAAAGCGGCAATCTTCGGCCTCGGTCCGTGAAATTTTTGGAAATGTACTGGGATTTCGAGAAGAAGTTCTAAGGGAATGGGCCAAACTCAAAAATGCCCATATCTCGGCCATTCAGTAACCAACTCGATGATCTCAACATCTATCGATATCTACTCCATGAGAGCTATCGATTGGCGTTAAAGGTATCGCATGCAAATCTCTCTATGCAGAGATAACTTGCAAAAACACTTTCGCGTAATTTTTGAAAAATCTTCTTGGGCCTGTATCTCGGCTGTTCTGATTTTGAGGGCCCAGGACCCCCTTCAGAACCATCCAGGCCGAGAGCTACAAAATTACATATCGCATGTGCAGAATGGAGCTATCTACGAATTTAGCCAGCCCTCCAAAATCTCGGCGACAGAACTTTCGTTCCAACCTGATACTATCGCAAATTGGGTCTAAAAGTAGTTTTTTAAAATACGTCAAATTTTGAAATATATTTTTTCGTTATCTTTTAATGATCTTTACTACTTTTGTCGTGCCTTAATAGCACTATATTTCGACACGCCTCAGGAGTGTTTTAAACGCGCGGTCAAAGCGCAAAAAGCTTACATGTTGAGGCCAGCATCGATCTTTTATCGAATCCAAAACCAGTTTCTTAAATATGCATAATTTTGAAACATAATTTTTTTACGGAGAATTGTTACTTTTTCTTAAGTTTTTCCTGCCACAACTTTTCCGTTTTTTTTTTGTTTACAAAAACCTGCACTTACACTTTCCACCGTCTCCGAAAGAAAAAACATGTTTCAACAAAAGAAGCTTCCAATGGCTAACAATAGCAGACAATTCCGCACAGTGGATGATGACTTCTGATTATTATTATTACTATGCCCTAGTTCATCGCCACTAAGGGGAATCGACCCTTCTTTCCGATGACTATCAGAATTCCGGCAAAATAAAAATAAAGTTAAAGGCTAAAAAACTTAAAAGTCTTACAAAGTTCTAGCCGGTTTTACTCAAAATTGTGTGTTTTCGCAGGGGCATGCCAAGTGCCGACTGGTCGTCAAAAAAGGTCGAAACATGTGTTTCAGCCATGTATGCTTCGGTGTATTAATAGAATGTTATAGTGTAGATCGACAGTATATTGAAAACGAACGCTTGCATAAAACTTAAAGATAATTTTGAATAGAACTCCGTATTTTTTTGAACCTAGGACCGCTGCAATAGATCGCGCTAATTACCCAATTGCAGCCTATCCTGATATTATTGCATATAAAGTTTTGGAAATATATTTTTCCGGTTACTTGGATGTCACGCGAAAACCAGTGTCAGATTCAGCCCCCCCGAATCGGTCAACGTCCGAAAAATTGAAAAGGGGGACCCTTATGATTTTTCATAAAAATTTTTCTGCCTGGGCGCTGTTTATTACTGTTTTTAAAACAGTTTTTACTTCGATAAAGCCTGTTTTTCCAAACTTTTCCGCCTGCGGCGCTGGATTTTCATTAGTGCATCAATTTTCTATAAAATTTTTCGCCTGCGGCGCCCTTGCTGTAGTTGTTAGCCCTAGCCGTTACGAATGAATTCTAGTTTTCATGAAAACGTTCTTTGAAAAGTATGTTTCGGGTCAGAAACAATTCATTCGCAAATACGACAAATGATAAGCTTCCAGTAATTTTTTGGGTGTGTAGTTTCTCATTCAATACAAAATATTCTCGATTTTTTTCGCGGCAAATTGTCGAAATAAATTTTTATTAAGTTCAGAAGCAATGATTTTTCCGGGCCCACCCATTTGCTCAATTTTTAAAGAAACAGTCGCTATGCTCTATTTATCCAGCTGCAACAAACGGCGTACGCATGCTAAAATGGCCCTAGACATCCTGGGCGAAGATTTTTTGGAAGAAAAATTGTTTCATAGATCCCTAATAGGGCAAGGTGGTAATTCGAAACTACTACAACAGCCTCAGACCGAAAAAGAAAAATTAATTTCTATAAAATGTAATTTTCGTTTGAATTCGGTAATGGGTAGGGTTATGTGAGCGCTAAATTCGTGAATTGAATGGGATTGCAGATCATGAAAATATACGATCATAATGAAAAAATGAAAAATGACACCGTATGTCCCTGTTAGAAAATCCGATTCAGCAAAGGTTTCCAAAATTCTCAGACATGGCAACGGGCCCGGCCCCGGGCTCTTTCGGCCCCAAAAATTTGCATGCGGCCGGGCCGACGGGGCTCGGCCCCACTTCCGGCGGGGCCGGGGCTCGGCTTTTCTCGCCGGCCCCGGGTTAAGCCAAAATGGGGGCCGAGCCCGGGGCAGCAAGGCCGCACGCTAATCAGAAATCCCGGTTGTAAATCACTTTCAGTCAAAATATTCATGCAAATTGGAAAAAAATGATATCTTCAAAGGTTGCCATACCTCTCCATGTCTATTGCAACTAGATCATAACGGGTTCAGGCCCATATTTTAGTACTCTTTGATAGTTGGGACGAATTATTAAACAAGTTCAATGAATTTTA